ATATTTCCTTTGGGGTGGGGAAACACCATGCATGGTCTGTCATGCAGGAATCAGCTCCTACAGCACAGAGGCCTCACAGAGGTCAAGATCTAACCAGAAAGCCTGAGGGACTCGAACAGGGAATCACTACAACCTCAAATATGCTTCTTTCTACCCACCTGGATGCCCACACCCATATAAGGCCTTCCTGTAGGAATCCCAAGAGCCACAACACAAAGATAACAGATCACACCTTAACACTTCTGCACATTACTTCAGCAACACTTAGAGAAGACCTGATGAAACTTTTTCCTAGAAATTCCCAGCTAGAGACCAGCACTGAAGAGCTGCTTTAGAAAAAAAGTTTGTAGGAGAGGCACAGAAGCCCTGTTGGAAAAACCCAGCAACTATTTCCATCCTGATTAAAGGAGAATCTGAACAGCATCTTGGACTGCTAAATAACCAAGAACTAGGGACAGGAATCTCAGTCCCTTCTCCCCTGAAATTGAGAAGTCCCAAAGAAGCCACACATGCAAGGAAATCCTTTCAGGGACTCATGGAAGCTCTGGGAAGAGATGTGTTTCCTGATGAGCGTGAAAGAGTCCATTTGGGGGCTGAACTTGCACAGGAGGGAAGAATCAAGCAGTGCCACCCCAGCTCAGAGAGCCCCTACACCACAACCTGAAGTTGTGACAGTGGCACAAGGCTTTCACATCACCTGTTGTAATTCAACACTCCAGTGGAAAACTGCTGGTTCAAACTATCACCCAGCCTCTTCTTACTCAAGCTCATCCAAAGATCAATCCCTAGCCCTTGGGACTGATATAAAATGATCAGTATCTCCTACTAGAAACCCTCATCAAAATTACCAAATGCTAATCCCCACCCTTAAGGAACACACTTCACAGAAGATTAAGCTTTCTGAAGTTGAAATGCACGATCTAGTTCAAAAAAAAAAAAAAAAAAAAAGAAGAGCCCGAGTGAATTCAGCACCAACACGTCCAGCACTTGTGTCACCTGTAACTGCACAAGAGTAAACTGAAACCTCTCCGTAAGCACTTTTTCACCCCCAAGGAGGGAGGGCAGGAATGAGGAGGGAAGGCAGGAATGAGGAGGGAAGGCAGGAATGAGGAGGGAAGGCAGGAATGCCGCTTGTCAGGTCCATAACAAGGAGCACCTGCACCTTCAAGTACTGCAGGAAGGGGCTCCTGAGCCAATTTGCTGGAAAGCTCCAGGGAGCCAGTATCCAAAATATTTCAGAAGCTGCCCACGTAACCCTCTGTGAATTGAGCCCTTCTCAGAAAGCACAGCAGGAAAGACACATCGTACCCTTACTCAAGGTTGCAGTGATGGTAAAAGCACTGTGGTGAGACCACAACACAAGAAAAGGGCAAGAGAGAACTCATTAGTGGAAACAGTCACTCAAATACATCTTTATGGGTCAGATGAGGCTGGGAACCTGGTTTTCTAAAGAAAACCCCAAAACAAAGCTGAACGCTGCGGGGCTGGGACAAGTTTTACTGCTATTTCCAAGCCTCACTCTGTGCATGTCAAGGTTTGACAGTACTTTGAATCCCACCAAGAATTACCCTCCAGGCCTAAAGGATACCTGCAGGACAATGAAACTGGGGGGACAACTCAACCCTGAAGAAGAAAATATCTGTTATGGCCAAGAGCATCATTCCAAGGGAGAGCTCTGCTGATCCAGGGCCTCCCTGCCTTCAAGGATGGTCAAACTCCCCTTCTGAACACTTTCCTAAGCCCATGAAAATAAAGTTGAGAAGAAAGACCAACTTTCTGCCAAGTTAGCAGGATCAGTTGGTCAGTCCATTAGCTCAGCACCACAGCTGGTGTGTGGGAGGAGGCGAGAGGGCACAGCTGAAAGCAGGGAAAGAGAAGGGCCCTGTTAAGAGCATCAAAACATGAGAGTGGCTGAGGCAACCATCGCCCTGAGCTAACCCACCTCTTTTTCCTTCTCCAGGGTGAGCCTTGCTTCCTCTGCCCCTGCACTGCTGGGCTGTTGAAGCTCCTCCTGGCTGGGGTATTTACAAGCTCCTTCTGGGAACAATCCAGGTTCCTAAAGCAGCACTGCTGGGCTGAGGTGACCTTGAGCAGGAAATTGCATTTGGGAGAACAGGGTGCCCCCGCTGCCTCCCCGCACTCCAAATAAAGCCATGCCACTCACCTTGCCCTGTCTCCTCCTCCTCAGTCACCCAGAACAGCTCCTGAACCAGGCACAAGAGCCAAGGAACTTTGTGCTGGTCCCCAGGTGATCGGCTCAGGCCCTGCACAGGGAAGGGAGTGGCCCTGCCTGGCCAGGGGACTCAGATCATCTCCTTCAGACACTGTTGCACCATATCAGCTCAGATGCTCATAAAAGATGCACTGACAAAAACAGCAGTAGCATCAAACATATACAACCATTTTTCCTGCTGGCAAGCTAAAATTTTATCCTAGAAAAGCTGAACCAGAGACAATTTAAGCCAATAGATAAGTGCAGGGAGACATACAGATAGAAAAAAGGCACCACACTAGGATATGCACCTACCTAGAGTGTTCACATGGGTTAACATATTAACTTTCCATCCAGCAGCCCCTTAGTAGTTTGCTCAAACTTACTCAATCTCACAGAGCAGGTCCTAAAAGCACAGGGTCCTTGGGTTGATATTTTATTTTTCACAGCTTCAACACGCTCGCGGTCCTCTGCGAATCGGGTTTAAGGTACAGAGCTCTCCAGACTGCACAAACATCCTAAGAACAAACATTTTCAGCATACCAAGAGCTCAGATACTCTAGGTCAATCCAACTATGTTTATTTGTATTTCACCCAAATCACCACCAAAGTACTCGGAGCTCAAGGAGCAACAGCCTCCCACTGATTCAGCAAGAGACCAGAAGTAATTGGTAGAAAGTGTGCAAGCACCACAAAGAATGCCAGAGGCATTTATTTACATGACCCCTGTTTGCCCAAGAAGAATTCAGCGTTTGCATTTTCCTCACTCGAATTAATCATCACTAGACTTAAATCCTCAGTACTATTCCCCAGCTAACAGGAGTAAAGGCACAAACCACCCAAAATCATCCCAACAAAATTTTTCAGAGAGCTGGTACCGCTAGAACGAGACACTCTTTTACTCCATTAGACAGAGTTCCTCCTCAGGCTGGCACAGCACCCTGCTACCTCTCCAGGACAATTTCTCTCGTTATCTCTTCAAGGGACATGGAAAAGGCAAAGAGACACCATTCCTGCTGTTGAGTAACATCACTCCTGCCAGGGCAGAACCATTACACTTTCTCTGCCAGGCTGACAACACACTGCACCTCACACCTGTGCTGCAGACACTAAAGCATGAAAAATCCCCCAGGACCCAGCTGCTGCAACCACACGTTCCTCTTCTCCCTCTGACCCCAGCGGGACCACTGGTCTTTAGCGCAAAGCCCCAAGTCACCTCTCAGGTTTGTCTGCAGTCACAGTCACACAAGCCAGGACGCAGCAGGGCTCCCTCTGATGTTACCCCCTCACTGCCAGAGAGACAGGCCAGAATTCCTCCAGAGCAGCCGCCCGTGGAAGACAAGAGTGTTGGTCCAGCCCCGACCGTGTCCTTCGTGGCTGAAGCTGCAAAAGGTCTCATTCTACCTGTCACATGTCCTCCTTCACTTCCAACAGCAGCCAAGCCCAGCATATCAGGCAGTGAGAAACAAGGAGAATAGACTGGATAAGTTACCAATGAGCACCAGCATTTCTAAAAGCAGAAAAGTGCTTGAGGTTAAAAGAAATCCTATACAAAAACCACTGGCACACAGCAAGAGCAGAACACCTTTACCATTATCAGCCCCATAGCTCTTGATGATTCTTCAGGCCTAACACCAACGATTAAGCCCAATTTTGTGCTTAATATTTACATAATGCTTAGAGAAACGGGTATGTCTAAGCCAGTTTGTGCTGTCAGCAACATCTCTCCTCGTTATTGGAGCGTTTGTGCCAGCTCCCCGAGAAGTGAGAGCAAACTCCTGCAGCAAGGAGACGGTGCGACCTGGAATCAGCCAGGCTCTTCTGATTACTCCTCTGAGTAAACAGTGGTGTTCCCAGCACTTCAGCTTGCTCTCAAGCTCCTTCCGTTGGCATACTACCCTATATTTAGGATAGAGGAGCGCAATGACAAGCATTGGGAAGAATGAATAAGTGGTTTAGGATGCTCAGTATAGCAGCGTGAAGAAACCTAGGAATTAAGAAACTTCTAAAGCGAGGAAAGGAATCTGTAAAGCTAGAAGTGGGAAGAGACAGCACTCCATATAGTAAGTTAAATAACAAGTTTTGTTAAGAACAGTATTCCCAAGGCAAGAGATGCTAGTGGTCCATCATGTAACAGCAGTGGAAAGAACCCCAAGAGGAGGGGCTGCGAGAAGATAGCCAAATTCTTGGTTTTTTCACGCAAAAAGAAGACTTTAATTTCTCTTTGGACAGGTAAACAATGTCATACCGTTTTCCTATGTCTAGGAGCCTAAAGGGAGACATAGCACCTCGGCGAGAAACTGTGAATGCTGCTGCCAGGTCCCACATCCCCCTCCCTGCACCTTCCCATTCCCCTGCCTGCACCTTCCCACCCCGAGCAGAAAGACATGGTTACACTCCAAAAACACACGCGGGAAGTTTGCAAACTTCAAACCAGTGGCAAAACCCACTAAACCCAGGCCTGCTGACTCGATGGGCGCTGGAGCCACTTTGCAGCCTGTTGCTTCCGAGGAGCCAGCGAGGCCACGAGGAATATTCAGCATTCACACCTTTTGGTGCGGCAGAATTATTAAGCGGCCTTTAGTCACCTGCCCCGCGGACTGCAGATAAAGTTTGCCTGCCGGTGTGTCCCGCCCGGCACAGCCACGCTCCCGGCTCCCCGAGCCAAGGTCAGCCCTGGGAAGCGGCGGGGCCGACGGAGCCCCACGGGGCCCGGGCCGAGGGACTACCCGGGACCGCCACCTGTCCCCAAGGGACTCCCAACTCGGCCGGGTCCCCGGACACCCACCTGCGCTCCCACGGCGCCAGTCCCGGTGAGCGGGGACAGCCCGGGGCGCCCACACGGGTATTGTCACACCCAGGGCCGGCGACCGCCGCCACCAGCACCGGGGCCGCTCCCGGCGGAACCTCGCGGCTCGCCCGGCACAGCCTGGCCCAGCCCGGCCGCTCGGTGCCCCGGCCCGCTGCGCCTCCCGCCCGGGCCCGCCGGGCACCCCCGGGCGCGGCGCCCACCCGGGGCCGGGGGGTGGCGGCGGGAACGCGGCGCGGGGGGAGCGCGGCCCGGCGCGGGGCCGGCCCCGCAGGCCGCGGAGGGCGCGTCGGGGCTGAGGCGGCGCCGCGCCGGGAGAGCCGCCCCGCCGCCCGCGCTCTTCCAGGCCCGGGTCCGCCGCGCCTCTGCCCAGGCCGCGCCGCGGGCCCCCGCTCCCCGCCGCCAAGGGCAGGGCGGTCCGGCAGGTGCCGCCGCAGCCCCGCTCCGGCCGGCCGGCCGCGGTCCCGCCCGGACCCCGCTCTCACCGTGCACGCCGGGCCCGGCCCCGCTCCCGGCCCCGCTCCCGCCGGCTCCGCGGCCCCGACGCACCGAGCGGGCGGCGCGGCGCGAGCGCGACCCCGCGCGGGCACGTACCCGGGGGGGGCGGGGCCGGCGCGCGCGCGCGCGCGCGGCGCCTTGGCAACCGGCGGCACGAGCGCGCCGCGGCCAATCGGCGTCCGGCCACGGCGATCGCCCCGCCTACCCCTCGGCCCCGCCCCGCCCTGCCCTGGCCGCTCAGTCACGCCCCCTCAAACTATAGCCCCGCCCCTCCGCCCCGCCCGCTCCCCTTGGGACGCGCTCCAAGCCCCGCTCATACCCGCCCCTCCCACGCTCTATGCCCCGCCCCGCGCCGTCCAGACCCCGCCCCCTCCGCCTCAAGCCCCGCCTCCGTCGCCCCAAGCCCCGCCCTCCCCACGCGTGCTCGCCGCGGGGTGACCCCGGCCCCGCCTCGCCCCCCGGCCCCGCCCTCTGGCGCAGGCCCCGCCCCCCCGCGTGCCCGCCCGGCTGACCCGGGGCCCGCTGGCTCCGCGCCCGCCCGCAAATATTTGCCCGGGGCCGTCCCGCAGCTCCAGCCTCCCGGGGACGCGGGGCCGCCGCCATGCAGCCCGTGCTGGGGGTCCTGCTCGTCCTGGCCGCGGCCCTGGCCTCAGGTAGGGCTCTCCAGGCTGGGCCGCCGTGGGGCTGCCGTGGGACTGAAGGGTGCGGGACAGCGCGGGGCCTGGCAGGGCCAGGGGCCAGGTCTGGAGTCAGCAGGCCCTGCCCTGTCCCGCGGCAGAGGGGGACAGCGGGAACCAGGGCACTGCAGCGATTGCTGTGCACCCTGTAGGGCAGGGACCCCCCCTGCTCCACAGCACATGGATCCCGTGGTCCACTGAACATTGATCCATGGGACACAGATCCCATCCTCTGTGGGGCAGAAATCCCATGCTCCATGTGATATGGATTCCATGGTCTGTGGGGCAGGGATCCCATGTTCCATAGGACAGAGAGCCTCTGCTCCATGGAACATGGATCCCATGCTCCGTTGGGCAGGGATCCCCTGCTCCTTAGGACAGAGAGATCTCCCATTCCATGGGGCAGGGATCCCACACTCCACAGGGCCCCGGTGCCCACGCTGTGCTCCCCCGCGGGCACACTGAGCTCCTGCCACACTCCCCAGGCCAGCGCTCACCCCTCAATGACTTCCAGCGCCTGCGAGCCACCGAGCTGCTGGCAGTGGCTGCAGACCCCCCGCCACGGGAGCAGGGCTCTGCAGAGCAGTGTGCCCAGCGCTGTGCCACCAGCCTGGCCTGCCGGTGAGCGGGACATGGGGCCACCGGGGTGGGTGGGAGTGCAGGGGGCCATGACACCAGGGTCACTGTGCACTTGGATGCTGGGTGCTCATATGTGACCCAGGTCCCCCAGGCCCTGGCCTCGCACAGTGCCATGCCAGACTCCTGCTGTGCCTCCCAGGGCTTTCCACCACGACCAGCAGAGCCAGCTGTGCCAGCTGCTGCCGTGGACACAGCACTCGCTCCGCGTCCAGCTGCAGAAAAACATCCACTACGACCTGTACCAGAAGAAAGGTGGGCTGCTGCCACAGGTGGACACGGGGACACCACAGACTGGGCACAGGCCACCTGGCACAGGGCTTCCCACTGTCCATGTGCCCTGGCTTGGCCCTGGGGCTCTGATAAGGTGCCTGGCTCTGCCCAGACTATCTTCGGGACTGCATCGTGGGTGATGGCTCCAGCTACCGCGGCACACGGGCCACGACAGAGAAGGGGCTGCGCTGCCAGCACTGGCAGTCCATGACACCGCATGACCACAGGTGCCTCCGTGTCTCCGGCTGCCCCATGGCACCCACCAGTGGCCCTGAACAGCATGGGGCAATGGGGAATGGGATGGGGACAGCGCAGGAGCAATGGGAACAGCATGGGGGCAGTGGCACTAACCAGGGGTGGCATAGCATTGTGGCTGTGCCCACCCTGGGGCAGGGGGCTCCTGGCAGCCTTCCTACCCACCCTGCTGCCTGCAGATTCCTGCCATCCCCCCGCAACGGGCTGGAGGAGAATTACTGTCGAAACCCCGACCGGGACAAGCGGGGCCCATGGTGTTACACCGTCGATCCCAACGTCCGGCACCAGAGCTGCGGCATCAAGAAGTGTGAGGACGGTGAGTGCCACATCCCAGGGTGACCCTGGGCTGTATGTCCTTCCCACGCTGAACCCCCCCTTGGCTGTTGGCAGCTGTCTGCATGACCTGCAATGGGGAGGACTACCGTGGCACCGTGGACCACACCGAGTCAGGGACGGAGTGCCAGCGCTGGGACCTGCAGCACCCACACAAGCACCCCTACCACCCCAACAAGTACCAGCCCCAGCCCCGGGCAGCACACAGTGCCCTGGCTGTGCCAGGTGCCACGGTGGTGGTGGTGCCACCTCAACTGCTGCTCCCTGCCTCTGGCCCAGGTACCCCGACAAGGGGCTGGATGACAACTACTGCCGCAACCCCGACAGCTCCGAGCGGCCCTGGTGCTACACCACTGACCCCGGGCAGGAGCGCGAGTTCTGCCACATCCGCCTCTGCAGTAAGTCCATGCTGGCGTCACACGCAGCTGGGACTGGGGGTCCCAGGTGCCACCCTGACCCTGCTGCTCTGCCCTTCTCTGGCCACACAAGCAGAAAAACAGCCACGTCCTGTCAATGTCACCACCGGCTGCTTCAGGGGCAAGGGCGAAAGCTACCGAGGCCGAGTGAATGTCACCGTGTCAGGGATCCCCTGCCAGCGCTGGGACTCCCAGGTGCCCCACAAGCACAACTTCGTGCCTGAGAAGTACCCGTGCAAGTAAGGGGTGGGGAATGAGCCCAGGAAGAGTGGCAGAGCACAATGCCCATGAGTGTGGGATTGAGGGGGGACACCTACATGGCCCCTACACCTGCAGGGACCTAAAGGAGAACTATTGCCGCAACCCCGATGGCTCGGAGGCACCGTGGTGCTTCACTGCACGCCCTACCGTCCGCATCGCCTTCTGCTTCCACATCCGCCGCTGCCCCGACGAGCAGGATGCCCAAGGTGAGCCATGCCAGGCACCCGCCCCCAGGCACCAACCCCAAGGTGCCTGCCGGGGGTGCCAGCCCTCCCTGCCTGTCCCCAGAGTGCTACCACGGCCACGGCAAGCACTACCATGGCCACGTCAGCAAGACACGCAAGGGCATCACCTGCCAGCCATGGGCTGCCCAGACACCCCACGTGCCCCAGTGAGTGTGCGAGGAGAGGCCGCTGGGACAGGGATGGGGTGGAGATGGGGTTGGGCCGGGGATGGAAATGAGGATAGGGATGGTGACAGTGATGGTGACTTCCTCCCATCAGGATCTCACCTGTCACCCACCCTGAGGCACACCTGGAGGAGAACTACTGCCGCAACCCCGATAACGACAGCCATGGCCCCTGGTGCTACACCATGGACCCCCGCACCCCCTTTGACTACTGTGCCATCAAGCCCTGTTGTGAGCCCCTACCCACATGCCAGCAGAGCTAGGGGAGGACCCTGGCCACCCACTGGGGTGGTTTTGGTCCCCTCAGGGTGGCTGGATGTTGCCTCAATGCCACCCTGTGCTTTCTCTCTGCAGCCAGCAGCCAGGTGCCCTCCATCCTGGAGAATGCAGGTGGGGGGCCGTGGGTGCCAGTTGGGTGCCGTGGGGCAGGTGCTGATGGCACAGCCCTGGCTGATGCCCACCCTGCCTGCAGACGCGGTGGCGTTTGAGCAGTGTGGCCAGCGGGACGAGATGCTGCAGTGGAAGGGGCGCATCGTCGGTGGCCAGCCCGGCAACTCACCCTGGACTGTCAGCATCCGCAACCGGTGAGTGGGTGTCCCACCTGCACTGCCGTGTGGCCAGTGTCCCCCCAGAGCTTGGCCAGTATCCCCCCAGAGCTTGGCCAGTGTCCCCCCAGAGCTAACCCTTCATTCCCACAGGGAGGGAGTGCACTTCTGTGGAGGGTCCCTGGTGAAGGAGCAGTGGGTGATCAGCACACCCCAGTGCTTCTCCTCCTGGTAAGGCTGGGGCTGGGTCATGGGGTGCTGGGACCCCCCTGTGCCCTCATTTCCCTGTCCTGCAGTGACGCCGACCTAACGGGCTATGAGGTGCAGCTGGGGACACTCTTCAGGGATCCCGGCCCTGGGGACCCTGACCAGCAGACCATCCCCATTGTGCGGATCGTCTGCGGACCCTCTGAGTCCCAGCTGGTGATGCTGAAGCTGGCGAGGTGAGTGGCCGTGCCCTGGCCTCCATCCTCCCCACCACTGGCCAGGCTGGCACCATGTCCCGCTGCCCTCTCGCCGCAGGCCAGCCACTCTGAACAGGCGTGTGGCCCTCATCTGCCTGCCCCCCGAGCGCTATGTCGTGCCTGCGGGCACTGTCTGCGAGATCGCCGGTTGGGGGGAAACCAGAGGTACTTGCCACGGGCAGCCCCTGCCAGGGCATCCCCATCCAGTACGTCCCCTGCCAGGGCATCCCCATCCAGTACTTCCCCTACCCACGCCATTCCCCTGCAATGGCATCTCCTCATCCGTACCGTTCGCTGCCCACAGCATCCCCATGTCCATAGCATCCTCTGCCCACAGCAAGCCCTGGCCCTTGGCATACCCCTGCTCACAGCATCTCCCTTCCATTGCATCCCGCTTCCATGGCACTTTCCTGCACATGCCATCTCCCTGCCCACAGCATCTGGCCATGGCATCCCTCTTCCACGACATCTCCCTTCCACAGCATCCTTCTGCCTATGATATCCCCCTGCCCATGACATCCTCCTGTCCATGCCATCCCTTTCCCACAGCACCTCCCGCCCATGACACGCTCTGCCCATGCCATACCCTCCGATATCCCTGCTTTCCTCCTGGTGCCTCCCGTGCTTGCTGCCCGCAGGCACGGCAGACAGCAGCGTGCTGAACGTGGCGCAGCTGCCGGTGCTGGCCCACGAGGACTGCAAGAAGGCGCTGCGCGGGCGCCTGAAGGAGAGCGAGCTGTGCACTACCCCGCTGCGCGCCGGCGTGGGCGCCTGTGAGGTGAGCCGGGCTGGGGACCTCCCCCGCAGGATCCAGCACCAGGGTGACACTGCTCTCTTTGTGCCACAGGGCGATTATGGGGGACCGCTGGCTTGCCTCACCGCCGACTGCTGGGTGCTGGAGGGGGTGATCATCCCCTCCCGTGTCTGTGCCCGCACTGACCAGCCTGCCCTCTTCATCCGTGTTTCCCTCTATGTCGACTGGATCTACAAAGTGATGAAGATGGGCTGAGCTGGCTCAGTCCCACTGGCCTGGTACAGCTGCCACTGTGCAATAAAGACACGGCTGTGGCCGTGGGGGTTGACACTGCAGAGGGTGGTCTCACACATTTATTTAGCACCAAACAACCCATGTCCCATCCTGCCCTCAGCTACACTTGCTCCATCCTCTCGTCCCTGGTGTGGTCCCCAGGGCCAGTGGTCACCCTGGGGTCAGTATAGCCCAGGACCACTGTGGGCACTAGGGACTGTGCTGTCCTGTCCTGTCCTGCCTTGGCTGCCCGAGGTGCTGGAGGAGCCAGCGGGCGCAGTTCTTGAAGACATCGGCCTCTGTCTCCACACCGGTCAGGGCGTGGCCACCCTCTGGGTACCACAGCAACCTGCAGGGTGGGATGGGATGGAGGGATGCTCAGCCAGCACCCTGGGGCTCCGTCCCAGCTCCCACCTGCACCCCACTCACCGCGCCGGCACGCCCCTGGCCCGCAGCAGCCGGTACAGCTCCAGCGCCTGCGTGGGGCTGACGCGCCGGTCCCGGGCGCCCACGCACAGCAGCACCGGCGTCCGCACCTGCAGCACAGTCCCGGTGGGTGCCTGGCACCCCACGCCTGGCACCCTGCACCCATCCTGATCTTGCCTTACCTGGGCTGCCTGGGCGATGGGCGAGCGCAGTAGCATGGTGGCCACCTCCTCAGCACATGGCACCCGCTCAAAGGAGTAGGGCAGCCCCAGGGAGGTGTAGCGCCTGCGGCACAGAGGCACTGGTGGGTGTTGTGGGGACGGGTGGTGTGTGGCAAGGCACAGGATGGGGGTGGCACTCACCAGTCGGGGATGTCAGAGGTGCCCAGCAGCGCGGGCAGGTTGGAGACGGGGCCACGCAGGGCACAGGCTTGGTAGCGCTCGGGCTCACGGATGAGGAGGTGGAGGGCGATGAAGGCTCCGTGGGAACCAGCCAGCAGGGCCAGGCGGTGCGGGTCCAGGGGCTCGCTGTGCAGCGCCTGCTCCACTGCCAGCTGCACCCGTGGAGTACCCACTATTGGCACCCCACCACTGGCACCCAAACATCAGCGTCCTCCCAGCAGACCCCACCACCTCCACTCAAACATCAGCATCCTCCCAGCAGCACCCAGCCCACCTGAGTGTCTGCCACGTCCTGCTCACCCACACGGGAAAGCAGGGAGCTGATACTGGCCTGGCCAAAGCCCAGGGAGCCACGGTAGTTCACTGGGGAGATGGGAGCCATGGGTGCCATGTCTCCAGTGGGACACAGGACCACACATCCCCGAGCTCCCCAGCACTCACCCAGGAGCACAGCTAAGCCTAGCTGGCACAGTGCAGCCATGCTTGGGCGCCAGCGGGCATCGAAGACGGCATGGGGGCCACCTGGGGCCAGCACAGACGTCACCTGGACTGCCACCAGTGCTGCCAGGGTGTCTCCACCATCCCTTCACTCACCATGGGGGCACACAATGAGGGGGTGTGGTGCTGTGCCATCCAAGGGGCTCAGCAGCAGGGCCTCAAAATCTTGGGTGTCTATGCCAGGAAAGGGGTCCTGTTCAGCACCCAACACCCTGGGCACCCAGCCCACCCCCTGCTCCCAAGGGTCCTCAACACCCAGGTGTGGTGGGGGCCTGCAAGTGCTCACCATGCGCAGCAGGGCTCTGCCCACTGCAGGATGGCCGGACCGTCAGGGTCTTCCAGGTGACACCAGGCACTGTTGGGGTGTCCTCCACTGGCACCCAGCGGAGGGGCAGCTCCCGGCCTGCCGGCGGCAGCACAGCCACCACCTGGGCACAGGCAGCGGATGGCACCAGAGCCGTGGCAGCGCAAGGCTGTGCCATGACAAGGCTGTGCTGTGCTGGATCTGGCTGAGCCATGTGACTCTGTGCCTGGCCATGCCATGGCACACCACGCCATATGTGCCACACCACGCTGTGCCTGGCTGCACATCACCGTGCCATATCCCACTGTGCCGCATGGTGCCACGGCTCTGCTCACCAGGCTGGGGGGATGGTGTGGGGCAGAGCAGGTGGCCACTAGAAGGTCCCACTGGAGAGTGAGCAGTTCCCAGCATCCCTCGGGCGACCCTGGGGACAGAGAGCATGTTGGTGATCGCAGCTGGGGCACCGTGGGCAGCCCGGCGCCACGTACCTGCCGTCAGGTTGGTGACTGTGGCTGCCTCCGTGTCCACAAGCAGCAGGTCCTGTGAGGAGGCAGAGCACAGGGGTGTCACCATAGGAGGAGGGGTCACACCCCTGGCCCTGCCCTCCCCAGGACTCACCGTGCGGCTCCTCTGCGGGGTGCTCAGCACGGCTCGCCGGCTGTCGGCTGCCCAGCACCGTGGTGGCAGCACCTCTGTGTAGAGCCCGGCGAAGGCTACGAGTGGGGCAGAGTGCTGGGCTAGTGAACTGGGGGTCGTGGGCATCTGGCTGGGGAGAGTCTCAGCCCCCTGGCAGCACCCAGCCCTGCCCACTGTGCTGTGCTCACCCTCCGTGGGTTCCTGCACCACATCGAGCACTGTCACCGTCTGCCTCGTCTGCCAGGTGAGCTGCGGAGAGCTGGGGGTCAGGGATGGGCCCGCGCTGGGAGAAACTGAGGCAGAGGGGCTTGGGGTCCCCTTGCCCCAGCTGGGCACTACAAGAGGCTGTGACAGCCAAGCTGGACACCACACTGGCAGCACAGGGTGGCACAGCTGTGCCTGGTGCCCGTGGGGCCCAACTCACCATGCACAGGCGCAGGCACTGCCGGTGGGGCCCCCCCACAGCCCCCTCCAGGTAAAGAAGGCGCTGGCCGTCAGGGCTCAGCCGGGGGGAGCAGGCGGCACCATTCTCTGCTGACAGCAGCTCTGTGGGCAGCAAGGGGTCAGCACCCCAGGGACCCCCTGGGCACCCCCCAGGGCCTCAGTGCTCACCACAGCACCCGCTTGACAGGTCCAAGTGGAAAATCTCTGACCTGGGGAGGAAGAGTCGGTCAGGTTGGACCTCTGCTGTGCTGATACTGCACAGGCACCCTGGCATAGTGCTGGATGCTGAGAGGGACCCACCTCCTGTTGGAGCAGGCGCTCAGACCCAGGCGGAAGGGCTCATGCCACCAGCCCACGAACACCACGCCACGATCACCGGGGGACCACAGGGCCTGTGTGACAGCCAGGCTGATTCCACAGCCCCAGGGTGGATCCCCTGGGGCGATCCCTGCATCCCCATCCTGACCTGGCCAGGGGAGAGGTGCTCTGGGATACCCTCCAGCACTGAGAGGCTGCTGCTCTCCAGGTCCAGGACGCAGAGGATGGGCACACTGCGAGTGCTCAGTGCCTCCCCCCAGTCCTCATGGTACAAGAACTGCTCGCCCTGCAGCACAGCCTTGTCAGCGCCACACCCTGCAGCCCCAGGCACGGGGCTCTGTGCAGGGCACACTCGTGGGGTGTATGGTACACTCACACGCTCATGGGGTGCATGGTGTGCTCAAGGGGTGCACAGAACACGCTCATGGGGCACATGGCACCTACCTCCTCATCCTCATCCTCATCCTCCTCTGCTGATTGGGCTGCCCTGGGCGCATCCCAGGGGCAGGGGGGCCGGTGTTTGGGCCGGCTCTTCTCAGCCACGTACAGGAGCCGTGTCTCTGACTGGGACCAGGCCAGGCAGGCAAAGGGCCCTGGCAAGGTGAGAGGTGCCAAAGCCCAGCCCGGCACAGGCACAGCCACGCACCAGGCAGGCACTTAGCCCTTGCCCGAGCTGCAGGCAGGGACCATGGGAAAGGGGCCCTACCCTCCGTGTAGACCTCCCCGTGCTTCCCCAGCGCCGTGAGGTCCACGCTGTGGCTGCGCCCGCCGCTGTCCCACACCTGGGGGAGTGGGGGGTCAGCACGGGCACACCGTGTCCGCGGTGCCCACCGCCCCGCGCTGGCACCGCAGCCACGCCGGGGAGGGACCGGGACGGCCGCGTTACCTCCAGCAGCTCGTGGCCCTGCCGCGGGCAGCGGCTGAGCACGGCGCGGTGCTGCCCCGTGGGCGAGTCCTGGCTGAGGAGCCTGAGGGCGGGAGGGAGGGAGGCTGCGGTGGGCGGCACTCTGCGGGCACCGGGCATGCTGCGGGCACCGGGCACGCCGCAGAGGCACCGGGCACGCCGCAGAGGCACCGGGCACGCCGCCCCATCGCGCAGCCCGTCCGTGCCGTACTGGTTGTGGATGCCGGCGCTGAGCGCGGTCCTGCTGGCGGCGAGGCCGCCGCCGTCCGTGCGCCGCACGCTGTAGTGGCGGCTGAAGCGCAGGAGCCGCCGGCGGGGCAGGTCGGGGCGGCTGCACTCTGCGGGAACGGGGGGGTCAGCGCCCGCTCACACCGGTCCCGCGGGCCACAGGCGCAGCGGGGGCCGAGCCTGCGACTCACCAGTGTAGAGCAGGAAGGTCTGTCCCCCCGCCGCGGCCCCGAGGGCGGCACGGGTGATAGCAGGGAACTGGCTCAGCTCCCGGTAGCAGGCAGCGGGGCCGCCGGCCGCCTGGGAGGGGTTAGAGGCATGTTGGAGGGGGAGAGCTCACCCTCATGCCCATGCCCAGCTCCTGAAACGGGGCTGTGCTCACCCACGCAGACCCCCCCGAGCCCCCTTGCCCACCTCCATGCCCGGCTGGTTCCCTGTGGCCATGGGCCGTGCTGTGCCACGCCGGGCTGCCTGCGGGCTGCTCACAGCTGGATGCCCGCCAAGGCACGTGGGAGCAGCCCGACGCCAGCGCCCCCGCCGGTGCCAGCCCTCCAGTTGCTCCCTGCTGCCCAGGACGGCCAGGCAGGGCTCACCCTTCCCCATGGCCCAATGCATTCCTGGCGGCACAACTGCCCACCCACGCAGGTGAAAGGTCCAGTGTCCACCAGCTCCTGGGGTACCACCACCAGAGACACCGGGATGCTGAGCTACATCATTTATTGGGGGGGGTGGCAGCAGCGGGGGCCCTTAGCACTCCAGGTGCTTGAGCAGCCACAGCGCCATGTTCATGAAGCCATCAGCTTCAGCCTCGACACCAGCCAGTGCATGGCCGTTCCCTGGGTACCAGAGCACCCTGTGGAGGAGAGAGAGGGGTTAGTGCCATGCCTGCACCCTACCATCTGGGCACCCAGCACTCCACTCACCGTGTGGGGACCCCCCGGGCCTTGAGGGCACGGTAATACTCCAGCCCCTGCTTGGGGGGCACACGCCGGTCGTCTTCCCCCAGCATCAGCAACACGGGCACACGGACCTGCGGAGTGACATGGCCTCAGCACTGGCACTGCTGGCAGGGACTGGGACAGGGATGAGGACAGAGATGGGGACATACCCGGTCGACATAGCGAATGGGTGACTTGTGCAGCATCTCTGTCCACTGGGCTGGGTCTGGCAGGGCATCAGGTGCGTAGGGCAGCCCTGTTTCTGTCAGGCACCTGTGGGTGAGAGTCAGGGGCACGTGTGGGGCTGGTGTGGCAGGGAGCCTGGGAGATCACAGGCAGCAGTGCTCACCAGTCAGGGATGTCTGTGGTGGCCACCATGGAGGCAATGTTCACCACGGGGTTGCGGACCACGCAGGCACGGTAGGTGTCGGGGAACTGCCCGATGAGGTGGCACGCCAGGAAGCCGCCGTGTGAGCCACCCACCAGTGCCACCCGGCTGGCATCCAGCGCCTCCTCCTGCAGCACCCTCTCCACGCAGAGCTGCCACCACAGGGGACACCCACTGAAGCGGGCAGCTCTGCTTTCTCTACTCGGGGCACCCGTGGGAGCACGTGTGTGCCCCAGGACCACGTGCCGGGCCGTACCTGCACATCGCGCACGTCCTGCGTGCCCACGTTGCCGGGCAGGGAGGCCACGCTGTCCTGGCCGAAGCCCAGTGAGCCGCGGTAATTCACTGCGTGGGGGGCAGCGTCAGAGCCCTTCCTCCTCTGTGTCCCCACCCCAGCCCCTCCGTGGGCAGTGCCCCAGAGCCCCAGTGTCACTCACCCAGCAGCACAGCAAAGCCCACTCGGCACAGCGCCGCCGGGTACAGCGCCCACCCGGCCGTGAATACGGAGTGGGGACCCCCTGCAAATAGCAAAGGCAGGGGGGTGACGCTGCCCAGCTGGGGTACAGCAGGGTAGGGACAAGCTCTTACCATGGGGCATCACGACCAGCGGGGGCTTCTGGGCAGTGGGGCCCTCAGTCGGGCGCAGCAGGATGGCATCAAAGTCCAGGCCCCCTACAGAGGCAGGGTGGGGGTGTCAGGGATCAGTTGGGGTGGTGAAGTCCAGCCTTGCCTCCCCAGGCACTCACCATACTGGGGATGCTCCTGCTCTGGAGGGGGCTGCAGGGTGAGGATGCCCCAGCTGATGCCGGGCACGGGGGGTGCGTCCTGCAGGCAGATCCACTGTGTCTGTGCCTCATGGCCGGCAGCGGGCAGGACGGCCACTTTCTGTGCAGGGAGAAGGGTCAGTGCTCACGTCAAGGTGGGCACTGGGAAGAAGGGTCAGCGCCTGCACCAAGGGGCCGGTGGGCACTGGAGAGGGGGATGTGACTTTACCAACATGGAGGGGCAGCTAGGGGTGGAGAATCTGGCCACCAAGAGGTCCCGGTCGATGGTCAGGACAGACCAGCTTCCCCGGGGGCCATCTGGGGAGTAGGGAGGTCAGACCTGCAGGTGTGACCCCCTCCCCACCTCTGGCACCGGCATGGCCCCTTTGGCCCATCACTCACCAGCTGTCAGCAAGGTCGTGCTGCCCGTCGCCGTGTCCACCACAAACATGTCCTAGGGGCACAAGGGCAGAGTTCAGTGGAGCCCTGACCTGGCCTGGACCCCCAAGTGCCCCCCCCCTCACCTGCTGGCTGCGCTGGGCCGTGTCCAGCAGGATCCGGCGGCTGTCGGCTGCCCAGCACATCCCTGGCAGTGCCCCGCAGTAGATTCCCGGGAAGGCACCTATGATGACAGTGGTGGCACTCAGTGTCCCCCTGTGTCCCTCCTGAAACCCCCAGGGCTGTACTCACCCCACTCCTGCTGAGGCACAGCCTCCAGCACCGTGCTGGTCTGTTTGGTGTACCAGTCGTACTGTGGGAGACACGGAATGGGGTGAGTTTTGCAGGGTCTCATCCCGCCTGCCACCACTGCAGCACAGAGAGGGGGCACCACTGCCCTCCTGCCAGCCCCCACCTTGGCAGAGGCACCCTGCTACCTCCCCCGGTGTCCCCCTGGTGTCCCCCCAGTGCTGCTCACCATGCGGAGGCGGCTGCACTGTTGGTGGGGGCCCAGGACATCGTTCTCCAGGTAGACAATGCGGCAGCTGTCGGGGCTGAGCCGTGGGGACCACACGGCTTTGGTGTCCTCAGAGAGCAGCTCTGCATGGGCACAAGGGGACAATGAGGGGCTGTGGGGAGCCGGGGCACCGGTGGGGTTGGGGTCTGTGCCACTCACCACATTTCCCACCCGTCAGGTCCACATAGAAGAGTGCTGACCTGCCGGCACACAGGGGTGTCACAGTGGGGCTGTGGGGTGGGGTGCCCCACGTGGACTCACTGTGGGGTTCAGGTTGTGGGGTGCCCCACGAGGACTCACCGGCGGTTAGTGCAGTAACGCAGCCCCAGGCGGAAGGGCTCGTGCCACCAGCCCACAAACACCACACCGGTGTCCTCAGGGGACCAGAAAGCCTGCAGGGAGAGGGGAGATGAGTGGCTCAGATGGCTGCTGGCCCCCAAAATCTCCCTCTTTCAGTTCCCTGCGGCTCCCCATCCTGACCTGGCCAGGAGAGAGGTGCTCAGGGATGCCCTCCAGCACTGAGATGCTGCTGCCCTCGATGTCCAGGATACAGAGGACAGGCACGCTGCGGGTGCTCAGAGTCTCCCCCCAGTCCTCATGGTACACGAACTGCTCACCCTGTGGCATAGCCCCGTCAGCCTCACAGCCACCTGTCCAGCCCCCACCTGCCCCAGGGCGGGTGGGTGAACCCCACCTTGACGGGCGCATCCTCCTTCTTGGGCTGCCCTGTGTCCTCATCAGAGGTGCCCAGCTCGGGGGCTTTGCTCTGGAAGAAGGACTCGGTCTTGGGACGCTTTTTCTCCGCCACGTAGAGCAGGTGAGTCTCCGAGTGTGACCAGGCGAGGCACCCAAACTGGTCTGCAGGGCATGGTCAGCACCAGCCATCCCTTCCCCCAGGACCCCACAGCCCCTGGCATCCCCAAGCCCCTCACCATCGTCACAGACGTTGCCGTGCTTGTCCAGCGCTGTCAGGTCAATGCTCTTTACCTTGCGGTTCTGATCCCACACCTGGGGACAGAGGTTGTGGGGCGGCCCCAAGACACAGCGTGGATCTGGCCCTGAGACACAGCAAGTATCCAGCCCCCCCTTGGACCCCTCCTCACCTCCAGGAACTGCTTCTCCTTCTCTTTCTCCTTCTCCTTGCCAGGGACTTTGCACAGGACGGCCTTCAGTGTCCCGCTGGGGGACTCGCGGCTCAGCAGCCTGTGAGTGGGTGGATGCCCATCAGCCCCTCTATCAGCACCCCAGGGATCCCATGTGGGGAGCGGCATGAGACTCACTCGCCCTTGATCTCGGAGCAGGTGCCGACAGGCCCCGAGTAGATGATGGAGGCTCCATCGTGGAAGAGGAGGTACTGGCGGCAGAACTTGATGTTCTCGGCCCTCGCCAGGTCCCGCTGCGACCACTCTGAGGAGGGGGGTGAGGACACCAGCTGTCTCCCCACCAGGCAGGCAGGGACCACCCGGGGTCCCCCCAGTCCCCAGAGGGCACAGCCCGTCCCCGTACCGGTGTAGAGGCTGCAGTACTTGCCCCCGTACTGGGTGGTGAGGTCGGGGCCGAGGCAGGCGGCACTGAGCCCTGGGTGCTGGCTCAGCTCCCGGTACAGCTCCGACAGCTCCTCTGTGCGTGGCGGCACCTGCGGGATCAGAGTGGCTGGAGATGTGTGAGGTGAGGGGTGGGGGACAAGGACCGGGCAGTGATGGGGCACAGGAGGCAGTTACTGGGGCGCCAGGGTACATGGGGAGAAGTAGAGGCGTATTGGGAGCAACACCTGGGACTGGAGAGCTGGGGCAGATTTGGGGTACACGGGAGGGGGACAACGGTAGAGGGACAGCTACTGCAGGGCTGGGGCAGTACTGGGGGTGCAGAGCCAAGGCACTACTGGGGTGCCAGGGGCTAAGAGGGTACTGGAGAGCAGTACTGGGGCACACAGGGCGGATTAGGAGGGTGTCGGGGCACTTATCGGGGTACCAGTGGGTACGAGGATACTGGGTGCAGTTACTGGGGCACAGGAGGCATCTAGGAGGGTACTCGGGGAAGTTACTGGGTACTAGTGGGTATGAGTGCGCTGGGAGGCAGTAACCGGGGTCCATGGGGAGATATAGGAGGGTGCCAGGGGGTGCCGAGCCGGGGCAGTCACCGGAGCAGCGGGGAAGGAGCGGGGGCAGTGAGGGTCGGAGGGCCCGGGAGTGCAGGACGGGGGTGCGGCGTGGCCGAGGGTGGTCCCGGGGGTGCAGGACAGGGGCGCGGCATGACCGGAGGTGCTCCCAGGACTCTGACCCGCCCCCCCCAGCCTCTCACCGGCGGCTCCATGTCGGGGCGTGGGCGTGGCCAGCGGCGACACTTCCGGGGGTGATGGGCGGGGCCTCCAGCCCGCGGAGCCTCCCATTGGCTGCGGCGCTCCTGCCACCGCCCGCGCTGGGGCGCCCCCTGGTGGGTGCGGGCGGAGCCGCCGGTGCCCCCCCCCGCCCGCTCCACGTGTCCCGGCGGCCGCTCCCCCCCGGACACCCGATCGCCCGCGGGGCCCCTCTGAGGCCGTGGCCGGGAGACAGGGAGCGGCCCCGCAGCCTCTGGGCTGCCCCGCGGTTTTTTTTCCACCAGGAGGCTGCGGCACAGGGGGGCCGAGTGCAAGACGGGGGGATCGGGCCCTTGGGGGATACAGGGACTCCCAACGC